ACCTGAAGTCAGCTGTAGGATTCACATCCTGGGGGTGGAAATTAGGCTTCTTTGGTTTGCTGCTTGTAGAACCTCTTAATCTAACTTTACCACTTCTCAGGGAAGAACTGTTCTCCAGATGCCTGAAAAGATGATTAAAGAGGAGTCTGAAATATTTGCTTTGAACTCTTCAGAAATTATTACTAGGATTTGATAAGAGGATTAAGTGAACAGTTAGTGTCTTGAGTCCAGATCAGGAAGGACTCCATACACCTAGCAGGGGGAGATGCTGAGGCCAGATGCATGCCCAAGCAGGACTCTTTACAGTCCCATTCCAGTTATGCAGTGTTTGAAGACCAGACTCACCAACATGTTTTAGATGTGATTATATAAAAATTAGAACATTTTCCTAGTATTATTCCTGCCAAGGCCTCTTGCATCCTTCATTTCAGCATACTGCTTGATTCGCAGGAGAGTTTTCTCTCAAGCAGGTGCTGTACTGGAGGCTAGGGTCAAGCATTCTTGACCCTTCCAGGGAAATCTTTATCTTTTTTATGTAATGATTTTCTAGGAGAAATGGAGTGTGTTTGTGCACTTCAGCATTAGAATGGGCAGCTCAGAGATAGCTGGATTCCCATTTCCTCTTCCAGGGCTTCTTCTGTCTTATCCTACAAGACTGTACATGGTCATTTAAGTGGATAAAATACTGAGGAAGTGCTGGAAGCAGACACGAATCTGCAGAAACACCTTTCCCAACAGACAGATTTATTAATTATTAGATAAAAGAGGGGCCATAATATATCATTGACTCTTCAGTTGTCTCCTGAACTGTCTGTGGCATTATTCTTGTAGGATTAGGCAGCAACTGACTGAGACTTTTTCAGTACTTTGGATTCAGATGCAATTTCTATCCAAGTCCCTTTTACACAGCAAAAGCCAAAAAGTTGCATTTGTGTTAAAATGTATTGACTTTGCAGGGGAGAAGTCTCTCTGAAACTCCAACAAATGCTTTTGGTCATGCACAAAGAAGTCACACGTATGTGGAGAAGGGTCCTTTAGATAAAATTGTAAGGCACTTTGGGTCCCAGCAGTTCTGAGGAATCAACTGGGTGCTTTGGAGGTCACCCAGAAATGTCTCAGCTCTTTTGGCTGTTGTCTCCTGTGTGGACTTTTATCTTACATCCTCCCATTTGTGCCAAGTGGGACACAGCTGAGGTGAGCTTGTTTTTTGTCACCCTGATTTTTCCGGTATCTTCTTGGAGTCTCCTACTTAAAGCTAAAGAGGTTCTGAAGAAAAAGAAATGCAAAATGTTGACTCTCTGCCTTTGCCCCACGTGGTTTTGTATCTTTGTTATCTGGGTGACTCTGTTTTGTCTGGTCTGTATCTGTGATACTATTTATATCCAGTTCTGTTTCCTATCCACACTCACCAGCACCATTGTAACTCTTGGTCTGTGCAGTGGTCTGGAAGTACAGATGTACACACAGGCCAGAAGTTGTCAGCATCTCCTGTTTTTTGACTGGAACAGCTAGGATAAAGCTTAGTGTGGATGAGCTTCCTTCACCGGAGATGGGGAGAAGCACATTCCCTTGTGCTACAGCTTTGAGTAAAAGGAGTCACAGGTCTTTCTCTGGGTCAATTTCAGCTTCACAACCAGAGTGGAGAGTGTCCTTCCTGTCTCCAGCCCTATGGAAGGGGATTTTCATGGTCCCAAGAACCACGCCGCCAGCTGCCTGGTGGTCCCAGGGGAGAAGCTCTGCACCAGGCTGGCTCTCTCCCCAGCACAGAGCTGTTTGTTGGCACCTCATTCCTCAGGATCTGAGTGGCTTCAGCATGAGCAGTGAGACTTCAGCCTCTAAATCTCTGCAGCGTGTGGCCCTGGCACTTCGCAGCCTAGACCATGCCCACAGCTGGACAGTGTTACACTTGGTGCTCTCCTGGAGGTGACAGCAGCACAAATTGCCTTCTCCAGGACAACCCTCAACACCCTCTGGTGGTGCCCCAAGCCCCATTTCTTCCACGTCTTCCCATTTTTAACAGTGCAATCCTCGTTTTGCTAAGCAGAAGCACATGCCTGACAGAAGCACATATACACCTACTCATCGGAGCCACCTAGAGCAAAGAAAAACCTGACCTTTTTTTTTTTTCAAAAATGAGGTCTCAGTATCCTAAAAGTACCTTTCAAAGGTATCTTTCAAAGGTGATTTTGCTCTAATCTCATTACCTCCCTCAGGCAGTTCCTGACAAGAGGAGATTATAAATGAGAGTTTGTAGTAACCATAGGTAAAAATATATATCTTTAATATTTTTGCAATATATTCAAAGCAGTTTGGGCATGAACACAGAGAACTCACTTCACATCAAATGCCATTATGTTTATTGAATTAGGAGTAGTATTAATCCTAGAACATATCCAGTTCTTTTTGTGATTTTGCATTTGTCATAACTGAAAGATATCACTAAATATTTCTTCTATACCTCTAAGTAACATTGCCTGTCATGTAATATTTATCTCCAGCTTTCCACAGTGTTTTCTATCAGAGCTGAAAATGAGCTATCACAGAAAATAAAATGGGACTGAAATACCAGTCCTTTGTATTAAATTTAACATTTGGCTTCTGTCCCAGAGTTTTCCACATCCATATTAGAATCAGATGGTAGCATAAGATGAAAAGATCTCCTGGATGGGTTTTATTCTGATTCTTATTAAAGGGCTGATAACAGACTGAAGGCAAGATACTTCTTGTAGTAAAAAAGCCTGCCTAATATCAAAGGCTGGATGGACAAAGGCTGATATGTATTATTATTAGGCCTTCCTGCTTGATCACATCTCATTATCATAAAATCATTCTGCTAGTGGATGTGACATATGAAAACTTCAGTGTGAGAGCAAAAAGCCCAGACTGGCAGGTATTACTGCTGTGGGTACACAGTAGCTGACCATAAGCCAAAGAAAGGGTTTAATATCAAAAAGTATTGTCGATGACAGCGCAGTGTAACTATATTTATTTTCTTCTCAACTATTTGCATTCATGAAAGATTCTGCCTTGTCCTGACATATCTGTGAAACTGGTATCACATCTGATGTGACAGCATAGGGCAGCCCCACAGGTATTGCTCAGCCTTCTTCAGAAGTTGTGCATCCTCTGCCCTACCCACAAACCAGTACTTGCCCCAGATTCCTTTGGCAGTCTGGAGACAGAAAGATCAAAGAGACCTAAATATTCTTCAGAAAGCAATTTTCTCTTTACTCAAAGCAGCTTTGTATAGTTCTTGTGTATTATTTGGCCAAAATTGTACAAGTATTTGCAGGCTCTGGGTGTTTTATGCAAAAACAATTACTTTTGATAAAATGAAGGAATGGTGCTTTCTGGAGTTTCTCTTCTGCTGTAGTGGAGACTGTGAGCATGATATTGGAGCTATAAATTAGATTTTGCAAAGCCGCATTTCTGAAGGGAGTCTGCTGCTTCAGACCAACAGGCTCTAATCAGCATTTTTCAAGGGGATATTTTGCCTGTGTTTTGTTGCAGTATCTTCAGCAAGAGAAGTTCAGCAATTGCAGACTGCATTGACTCCTTATTTCAGCTTTTGATCACAAATACTATTGAAAAACAAATATGCTTTGTAGGTATTTTATGCTGCTTTTCTAAATGTACCTTTTTAAAGGCTAGCATATGGTTTGAACTTATAGGCAGAGAATCATTTCACTGTCACTGGCTGTTTACAGTATCAATATCAACATTTGAGCTTATACCAAATGCTCCTTTTACAATCAGTAGAGAAATGTGCACATTTAGAGGAATCTAGTTAATTAATCTAGTTATTTTAGTCATCTTCTTTCCAGTGAAAGAGTTTGTATTTTAAAAGTGTCTATTTCTCTTCTCAGTAATAATTAATCATAGCATATTTAGTTCAGGTTTTCTTTTAATTATCAGATTATCCTGGGGAACACATAAAGAGATCAGTTGTGTATGCAACAAAAGCTTGATTCAGTCCCTACAAGATTTTTACTGCTGGTAATTACAGCTATCTTAATGCTTCCTATAAAGGCTGTTTTGGTAGTTGTATTGATCCTGCCCTCCTCATGTACCAGTTCAACGTAAAGCATCTTTTTGGATAAAGAGTGCATTCTCTTGGGTACGTGAACAATCCTAAGGGACTTAACATCAGGCAAGAATCTGAGAAAAAATGGGACCTCCTTGCATTCTTCTGAAAACATCTTCAGGGAGGTCAGATGAATGGAGCTGTGGCACATACATACCTGATTTCAGTTCTCTGAGAATGAGAACTGAGGGATAAGGAAGCATAATTTGTATTTGTGAACAGTGTTGATGCCCTGTTCATTTGGGTTCACCTGAACCATTCTTATGGATTCATTCAAATAGAGGAAAACCCCTCAAGGCTGGTCTCCTCAAGATGAGTTTACCATATATGACAGGGCAGAAAGGGTAAGTAGCATCTTAGGACAGAATTTCCTGTGAACAACTCTCAGGAAAAAAAAAATAGCGTAATAACTATTAACTAAGGAATAAGAGTTATTTCTGAAATGTATAAACAGAGTCACAGAATATTAGTAATAAGGTATTATTGGTCCCATGTTTGTCACTTGTCACTGTATCATACTGGTGCAAGCACATTGAGGGTGATGGCTGCTGGAAGCAGGTTCCTTGAAAACCTTTCTTGTTCACTACCCCGAAATCTATAATTACTTTTGGAAGTCTTTGCTTTGGTGTACAGCTCTGATGTCTGGATTACTGACATCCAAAACCGCAAGGCTCCCTAGTATGGTCTACTGAGCACTAGTTTTCCTCTGGTTAATCTTCTGGTTGATTATGTAATTAATTTTTCTAGGTAAATATATATTCTGTTTATTTAATGAATTATTTCACCTCAGCTTTGCTCATGCTTATTCCCTCCTTTGTCAAGGTTATTAATTAAAGAGTTAATTCCCATTAACTCTTGCAGCATTGCCTAGTGACACATATGTTTTTTCTTTCTCTTTTTTTTTAATCTTTTATAGATTTAACTGAAGTTGCACCGTGCATTTTGAAGATGTCACCAACAGATCAGCAGTTGAACAAGCTGGCGAGGAGGCTGGGACCTGAATGGGAGCATGTAGCTCTGTGCTTGGGTTTGTCCCATACTGACATCTATCGATGTAAAGTCAATCACCCTCACAACCTGCAGTCACAGATCGTAGCTGCATTTGTCCTGTGGAAACAGCGGCTGGGGAAAAAAGCAACAATCCAAAGTCTGCACTCCAGTCTGATGGCAGAGGAGGTGGATCCTTCAGTGATACAGTACATGCTTGAGTAAAGCCATGCTATTTATTCAGAGCATCCACGTATTTCGTTAAACTAAGTAAAGAGGATGGAAATGTATGTTGAAGATTGGATGCTTCAAGCTGTAAAAAAAGTGGAATTGGGAACTGTGATTTTATTAAGCTGAAACATTCCAGTTTTCTGTGGCATCTTGTGACTTGTAATTCTTTTCATGCCAGATTAATTTTTAGCAGGCATTAAAAAAATGGATCACTCTTTCCTGTTCCCTTTTGTGCTATTTCAGTGGGGATATAAAGTGACAAAGTTCTTGCAAGCAAGCAGGCCTGCAGTGAGTTCAGCGAGGTTTTTGATTTCACTGAGGGAATAAGACTGGGTTTAACTTATTTTCTGGACTATGTATGGAGCCTTTTTACTGCTGTTTCATGCTAGTTCTCTGATATTACAGCAAGAAATGAGACTAATCACCATTACTAATTTAACAATTTTACAACAGTTATTGCAGGTGGCTAATTTCACATTTATAAAAGTTTCAGCATGTACAGTTTTTTGCTAGGATAGATGGCTGCCACTTTGGTCTGCCTTTGAAAAAGGCCCTAAGTGGAAGTAGCAGGAATGTAGTGTGCCTGTGAGGGTTTCTGCCATTATAATTGAGGTGTAGGTTTCTGCAGGCAGGCCCTATGTGCATATGCCTTGTCACAGGTGGGGAGTTTTCAGGGAAGACACACAGTAGAAAAGTGACCAGAAGTAGGCAGGAACTGATTAAACTGAGCAAGAAGCATCTTAAAACAGGAGACAACTTCTAAGTTGTCCATGTTTGTCTCTGCTAATAAAGTGGGAGACCTTGGGTGCCTGCAGAGTCTTTGAACTGTGCTCAATATCCAGGCAGCCTTGATTCATGGTGAGGTCAAGCATCCATAGGCACATTGCTCTGGCGACTGCACACCCAACAGGGTAGTGAATTCTGCAGGTCCTTTCTGGTCAAGATGCTCTCAATGCTTTTCCTCCAGCTTCCCTCCAGCCATCCACCAGGCTCATTGGCTTTCTACCAGATTTCTGCACCTAGTGGGGGCAGCTTTGACACTGCTATCCTCAGTTCTTTACCAGTGTAATTATACCACCAATGAAGATAAGATTTTATGCAGAAAAACAGTGAAGCTTGTGCTCTTCTCCTCCTTGCCTTCTGTCATGGAGATTTTATTTCTGCTGGGAAAAAATACTGAGGTCTTTGCTGGCCAGGCAAGGGAGGATCAGTCTGCAGGATACCCAAAGGTAATGGGAGTGACCAGATGCTCTCTGAGACCTAATGATAAGAGACAGAATACATTTGAATTCTCTCTGAGCAGTTTGCTGTACAGTAAATGAAGAACAGGATTTTCATGCTGAGTTTCTAGGTCTATTTATGAGCAAGTTACTTTATACAGTTTCATCTACAGAGTCATTGCCAAAGAACTTCCCATCCTGCAAAATTTGCTCTAATTTCACAGCGTAACAGCCTTGTCTGAAGTTTTTACTGGGGCGAGAATGAACTTCACTGCTTTTAATTTTTAGAAGTTTGTTCTTTTAATATGCAAATTTTGAAATACATGGGAAATTAGAAAGATAAAAGAGATTTAAAAGAAATCTTATGATGCCTTGGTTTTTAGAAGCATGGAAACAGAAGATATATACTGGCAGGATCTGGCTCCTGCAGGTTCTGAAGCAATCTGGTAATATTTTGGTTTTAATCTTCTGTATAGAGTTCCAACCTTCAGTAAATTGTGATACTGTTATACCTCACTGAGATCTTAACTGGGCATATCCTACTTCCAGAGATTAACTATATCAAAAAATTCCAGTTAAACAAGGTTAATCAATTTAGGGTTTGGGTTTGGTTTTTTTTTTTTTTTTTAAATGATGCTTTAGTGCCAACATGTTCTTTTTTAGATGGAAAATCATCCCAGAGCAGGTGTACAGACATTTGGCAAATTCATATGAGCACAGCCCAGCACAGGGAGTGAGATGTGGATTTTGAAGCAATTCTGACAGTGAGACTGACAGGAACATGGTTTGCATATTAGGGAGGAGAGGCAGTCTTCCTGGCAGCAATTTGGAGGAAAAAAAGCTAAAGATCGTTGACAGGAGGAACTACTGAAAATGTGATTTAGAGGAAGAAGTTGACTCCCAGTGTCATAAATGTAAGTACCTTATCTTGCTCTGAACCAACAAGGACCAAGTCTGAACACAGACTGGCCTTCAAGGCAGTTCATCCCCAGTTAACTTAGAATGAGCACAGTGCTCCAAGGAGGCAACCAGTCTGAGCAGTAAAGTAATGTAATGGGCACACTCACATGACCCTGGTACCTTCTTCTCTGGGTGAACTTTGCATTTCATGTCATGAAATCATAGGATGGTTTGGGTTGAAAAGGACCTCCAAGATGATCTAGCTCCAGCACATCTGCCATGGGCACTTTTCAGTATTCCAGTTTGCTCAAAGCCCAATCCAGCCTGGCCTTGAACGCTTCCAGGAATGAGGCATCCAAACATCTGGGCAATCTGTTCCAGTGCCTCATCACCCTCACAATTAAGAATTTTTCCCTAATATTTAGTCTAAACCTACCCTTTTCCAGTGTGAAGCAACTCTTCCTTGTCCTATCACTACATGTCCTTGTAAAAAGTCCCTCTCCAGCTTTCTTGTAGGCCCCTTTTAGGTAGTGGATGGTGCTATAAGGTCTTCCCATAGCCTTTTCTTCTCCAGGCTGAGCAGTCCCAACTATCATAGCCTTTCCTCATAGGAGTGGTGCTCCAGCCCTCTGGTCCTCTTGATGGTGCTTCTCTGGACTCACGCCAGTACTTCTGTGTCCTTCCTTATGTGGACTCCAGAGCTGTTAGCAGCATTCCAGGTGGGGTGGTCTTGTGAGAGTGGAGAAGAGGTAGAGAATCACCTCCCTCAACCTGCTGGCCATGCTTCTTTTGATGCAGCCCAGGATAGGGTTGGCCAGTGTCAGATTATCCATAACTTATATACTTCGAGTCTTTTTAATGGTTACAAAAAGAACCTTCAGTAGATATGAAATTCCATACCAAATAAGGCTTCCTTTCAAGCCAGATATCTGTCTGAGTACTAGACACTAGAAACCTGATGGGTGAGTATCATTTCAGGTAATTTCTCCCTCTTCTTTAGGTGTGCTAAATGGTACAACTCTTGCACCTGGTACTAAAATTATAGGAGCCACAGCTAGGCAAGAATTATAAAACCTGGCCTCTCATATTGTAGAGCAAAGCATATAATTAATAATTTATAGTTGCTTTCAGATTCCCAGGGCCTAAATGAACACTGTAATACTTGAGTTCCAAATATTGAAGAAAGAAGTTTACTTGTTTTATGAGATTGTTTCCATTGCTGATATTTTTAAATTAATGGAAATGTTCTTATTAGACTATTCATTTTTATTAAAGCTTGTTTTTGCACTACACAAATGCAGGGATACATTTAACTGACAGTAGTATTCCTTTATCCCAGTGGATTTTTTAATCCACTTTAAAATATTTTTCTTCTGTATGTAATGCTTTATTTTGCACAAGGATGCAATTAAGACAATTTAATTCTTCAGATGTATAGTAAGGCCTCTTATTCTCTCATAGAATACTTAGAAGATCTTAAAATGTTTATTCTTTTCTGCTAATTTAAGACCAGATGTTAGTTACTTAAATCTCGTGGACAAGTCTGTGATTTGAGTGTTCTTCAGGACTGAGGCAACTCAGTGAGTTTCTCCATCTCTCCCTTTGCCTCCAACTCCCTTGTGCCAAAGTCTGGGTGATGACAGGAGACTTGCACAGGAGCTCCTGTCCTCCCTGCCCAGTGTGCTTCCAGGACTGCTGCAGGGGGCAGGCTGACTTCCACGGGAACCTCAGTTCCATCTCTTATGGTGAGGTGAGCAGCCACTTTGGGCTTTGGGATGGAGCATGAGTTTGGCAAAGGTGAGCCAGCAGAAACTTCCCTCTGATGTGTTCAGGTTTCTTAACCAATGCTGAAAAATCCTCACTAGTGAAACTGGTATTATTGGTGTCTACTTAGCTGTGGCAGAGTTTAGGAGCTCCAAGACAGGAAAGCATAAATGTGGCCACTGCTGGAGCTTCCACTGAAACAGATGTCATAACTTCCTGTCCTTGGAAGAAGTTGTCATTCATTTTCTCCCTTGGTCTCCAGAGGAAACTCTGACATCCCAGTTAACTCTTCTAAATGGTAAAGAAGCTCTATTAAAAAACTAAAACTAAAAAAACCTGTTTTGTACTCTGCAAGTACAGGTGGACACTTAGCATGGTAATAGGCAAGACCTACGAGCACCAATTCTCACCTGCATAAGCTGATAGAATGATCACAAAGGAAGGAACTTTTCAGGGTAAAAGCATGTCAAGTGGCTGGAGTGTAAAATGAAAATACAGTCATATGTGAGCCACATCTCCCAGATATAGTAGGGGAAATTTCCATCTGGAGTCTTATTTTATGGCAGTCATTGATCTGTGGAATAAAACATTTTGCAAAGAAAATAAGAAAAATAAACAATGTCATATTATAGTCACAGAAAATAAAAGGCGTGCTCATCTTATGCTAAATGTGGTCATGCCACCAATTTTGTTTATTGCTTAAAAGGAAAACAGTCTCTGAGACCTAATCTGTTTATAAGCTTCCATATTATCTCCATAGACATAGACCAATGTCAAGACATAGTAGAAGTAGAGCTAAAAGGACAGTTGATAAAACCTTTGTCTGTTTACAGTGAATATTCAAAATCTTTGTCCAGGTTTCCCTAAATGAATAGAATTTTAATTTTCAAAGTGTCTTTCTGTCATTTAAGATCTAAAAGTAAATCCAGTGATTTGGCTTTTTTTCCCCTGAATGCATTGTCTTTTTAAACTGATGACCTGAGAAAAAAGAGCATTTGTCAGAAACAAAAAAAAAAGAAGATTAAAAAATTAGTATGTGTTTTAGCAGGATTCACTTTTGAACCTAGTATTTTAGTTGTGAAAAAAAGATTAATTACAATTTCCCTGTGAAACTGGTGGGTAGAGCTGATGATAGCACAGGAAGATTCCTGTCTCTTCTGCAGGAAGAGACTGCATTAAAACATCTGTAGACGATACAGGTACCATTTCTGAAGCCAATGTCTGCTCCAAGCCCAAACAGCAAAGAGACAAAAAGTCTCTTATTAACTTCAGTGTGCTTTGGATTAGGCCTTCTTTAATTGGAACCTGCTGTAGCATGGTACTTTTACTATCT